ATAATACACGTTTTGAAATCCTCACCGAATCGTTTAGATTGCACAAGACCAAAAGTTTTCACGCTGCGCCAGATGTCCTCCGGATTGACGGCTAGTCCGAAAACTTCCGTTTCGGAATTACTGTTGTTATAAAAGTTGAGTCCTCTTTACGATCACGTTCCAAAGTCTCGACGTATATTTGTCATAAACAGTGAAACAATGCATTTGCTCTTTATAAACGACCGTTTGAAACTATTTTCTCGGACTGTAAAACGTTAAACTACAATATCTACGCTTTCTGTGCATATGAGTATGTATACTACATACCCCTACTCTCCATAAAATGACACTAATTTTGAAAAATATAAAATAACTAGATTTTTTCCTTAATTTGCTCACTATATAAGACCTAACTTTGTTCCAAATTTCACGTTTATATATACGTGTAATACAATACAACGCATTGTCGATGATATTTTGTTTAAAATAATATAGAAGAAAATAGAAATAGGACCCACGTGCGTCATTATCGCATCGTTACTTCGGTGGATGTTGAAAAGTCACTTTCGATGTTTCAGAATATTTTATGTTCGAATTGTCAACGTTTTTCCGAAGACCGTTCGTCGAAAAATGTTGGCTGTAGTTGGTAGAAACATATCGCAATGAAAATAATTTTTTTAATTGCTTTGTTTTATACACGAAATGGCAATTTTGTTTTTTTTAAATTTTAATTGCTTTTTTATTGATCATACGCCTCGCTATTGCCTCATAATACAACCCTACTTATAATAATTATAATATTAACTGCTCGTTCGAAATTCGATTTTTTAAATTGAAATTCTCAGAAAATACATTATTCTGCATCAAAATATATTATATGAAATAAAAAACGTATGCTGTCATTGAAAAAAGTGGCAAACTTAAAAAACGGTAAAATTTGTAATTTTTTTTTTCAAAAGTGGAGCGTGTTGCGATTGCTTCAATAACTATGGTATTATATATAAAAAAAAAATTTCCTAAATGTTAAAACTTTGTGGGGACAATGCGAGGGTGTTTGTCACCGTCTTTAATAGAATCTCCGCTTGTATAAATTATATTATTATTTAAATAAAATAAAATATTCGGTGCGCGCGGCTGCCATAAATTACACTACCTACTTATATATATTATTGTTCTTGTACCTGCCAAGAGACAAAAGACGAATCCGCGGGTAAATAACGCAGAGCCGAAAACAAAGGCAGAGCATACTATAATAATAATAATAATAATAATAATAATAATAATATCGTACCGCAAGTCGCGAAGCGTTTAGATAGCGCCTCGGCGCGAATTCGTTGTTGTGATTCGCGGGCTGCATTATTTTATGTACCTATAATAATATAAATATACATATATACATTTTATAATATATAAATAAGTATTAAGTGTGAACGCGGCTTGGTTATATATTACGGTGAGCATTAAAATATAACGCGCCGCAGGCTTAAAAAAATAATAATAACGCGAAAAGGTCTGAAACGGCCATGAATATGCGTTCTGCGGATATATTTTTTTCCGACCTGATGTGCGTCGAAGAAACACAGACAAGATTATAATAATATAATAATAGGTAGTATACCTGTGTAATGCCAACTTTATACTTATATAAGGTACCTGCCTCGGACTTTCACCACTTTTAAATTATGAATTTTCCATCGCGAGAATTTAATAACGACCGCTGCTCACATTCCATGCACCATGTACCACACGTTCGTAGATTATAATATGTGATGATACTGCAGCAACCAGCAAGCAAAGCTTGGCTGGGAAAACTTGTTGATTAAATAATAATAATGCACTTAAAAGAATGCACTGATTTACCAGCGTAGAAACAAATACATGATCTTATCACATAGCCCTATAGAAAGAAAACACTTGTAAAAAAAGTATTCAAATACGTAATCTGTATAATTATTTTTTTGAATTTTTAATTCTGTAATTTAAAATGTCTACGGACTCAAAAAATAACTCATATTTTTGACAAAACAAACTTTTCTATTCGGGCACACCATAAATCATGAATAATAGTTTTTCTCTCTGAATGAAATATGATTGACCCGCGTTAATCTCCAACCATTCCAAAACTGACAAAAATGAGCAGGAAAATAATATATATTCTAAAACTATCCCAATATATATTTTGAATATATTTTTTAAAATGTGTAAGAATACTTATTCGGAATATTTTAGTACTCATTTAATCGAATACGTATTCTGAATACAAAATAAAAGCAGGCATTCATTACAAGGCAGCAGTTTGATTTTAATAGTTTAAATGCTTAAATTAACACTTTAGGCCTATATTTAAAAAATGTTTTGAAATTTTAAAACAATGTCAATAATACAGATATTGTTCATTGGTATTCCATAAACTAATAAACGGAATAGGTAATTTTAAATTTACGTTCAAGTTCATTCTATAGAAAAAAAGAAGTAGATAAGGCATGCCAAAATGTCTGACAAATTGGTTGGGGTTTCTCGCAGTATCCACAGACAGACACCGTATGTCTGAGTATAATTAATAATATATAAACATAATTTACCATAGCCACAGGTGTTACTAGCCGCTAAATATACTCGTATATTGTACAGAGAGTATAACATCTTCGATTGACTGTATAGGCGCTTATTGATTAGGCATGTCGAATTTTCTAGGCTTTTTATCAGAATTTTTTTCGAATTATCGCGTCTTATTTTAATTAAAATATAATAATAATTTAGACACGAGAAAAGTATCAAAACAATTAAGGAAAGGTAAATCATAATATAATTATATATTATATAGGACATAGGTCATCCATTTATTATTTTGTGATACGTCATATACTCATATTGTATACAAGTGAAAATTAATTAAAACAATACACAACAAATTGTATTACTTTGTCAAGTTTGTTTGAAATGTTATTAAAATAGTATACACCATACAATTTTAATTAATCCAAATTAGTTTAAGTTCAACTAAAGTGAAAATATCATACATACCTAAGTTATAAATATATTATTTTGGGTAATTATATTAGTGATCGATAGTGTCATTATTTTTTTTTGACAAGTTGAGATAAGTTGTTGTTTATAAACTGAATAAAGTTAAAAATAACTTAACAAAGTTTAAATGCTCCAGAATATTTAGTGGGGACCAATCTGTTCGTACCTTTCCATTGTTTGAACAAGGCCAACAACAAGCAGTTACAATAATCTTCGCGTGGCAATAATCATTTGCATTCGACTGATTATGTTGGCCAAATTAAATCAATCACACTCGCAAATTATGAAAAGCTAATACATGGCACATTGTACTCAAAATGAGTCATTTATAGGTAGGTACCTACTCATATGTCTTATATATATACAATATACATAAAACATAATATGTTACGGTTTGACCGTTTGGAGTAAAGTGAATCATATATTTTATTTTCCTTGAGTGATTTAGACTTCATTCATTATTATCACCATGCGATTAATCAAAAAACATTACATATCACATATTATGTAACAAAATATGTTGATATCAATAATATTTATGTGGATTTTCTTATGAACACAACAATGTAAAAGAAACTTTCTCCTTATCGTGAATCATATATTTATTTTTAAAATGATTTATTGACAGAATAAATCACCGATATCATTATTTTTCATCATTTTAATAAATTCATATAGTACCTAGTATCCATTGTTTAAAATAATATATTTTATCGGAAATAAAAGATAAATTGATTTAAGCAAAAAGACCACGAACTTGGTAGACAAACATTTGCAGAGTCCAAGTCCAGGAATGACATTTGTTTGGATTGTTTTTTCTAGATCTAATAATAAAATAAAATAAACACATTAAATAAGAATATATTTAAGTGCACTGCAGTTTAAACTATCGTTAAAAGAATTTGATTCCTAAAAAATCCTAAAACAAAGCATGTCCCAAAAGTACAACCTAGCTCCTTAGGGCGACAGTGAAGAATTGTATTGCGGTTGACCTAGATAAGTTTTAATGGTTACAGCTAACACCGCCAGGGTTTAAATACAATAATATATTCTCATTGTTTAGAATCGACTACTATTTAACCAGTCGAATATGCGTTTTAACAAGTAGCCGAAAGACTTTAGCTCTGAACTAAATTATACCTAATTAATAAAATTAATTATTACTTACCTACTAAGTATTTCATATTTGAAAGTGTTGAGTACACAATGTTTTATAGCCAGTTATAAATATTATTAAATCAGTATTTTATCAACAATTTTTTTTCAGTCTATTATATCAAATACGGATTGTATACATTTTGCAAAAACCTTTAAGTACTCGATAATTCAAAATTATTAGTTTTCATGATATAGTTTGTTTTTTCTGCTGTAATATAAATATAACTATACATTATAACATATTAATGCATTGACGAATTATATACTAATAAACTTTAATTTATTATACCAACTTACAATTAATTTATCATATTTTGATACATAAAATACATTTAATATTTATTGTAATTCATTTTTTTAAATTCTTCTCATCTGTACAATTATTATTACTTTACTATATGTTACCTAATTTAATTTATTGAAACTTACCTTTAGCTGATAATATAAATAAATATAATTAAAAAAAAGTTGTACAAATTATTTTTGTATAAAATAGATAATAATATATTGTAAGCAAATAATTATATCATTGACATTATTTTAGGATAAGAGTCTGCAGACTTGTTACATAATAAATAGAATTACACGATTTTTACTTTTTATTTTGTTGTCATTTACAAATAATTAAAATAACAAACCGATAAAAAGAAAGTAAACTAATAAAATAAAAAAAAAACAGAAAAAAATACATATGAGCTAATAATGTTTGCGTGTAGCTATAATTATAATCAAATAATAATACCTAATGAAAAAAAGCAGAAAATAAAAATATAATATATTTAATTAACATCTAATATATTTTTAACTAATTTGTATAGTTATTACATCATGTTGGGTTCAAAATTAAACTTATAAAATTACTATTATTATGTAATGGTATATTATCATGTTATATTTACAATTTCTTTTCGGGCAGAAAGCGGGGATTCGTTTACAGCTATATATTTTAAAATATACTATTGAAACAAAAAGATACATATGCCAATAATTAATAATTGTATATAATATTGAAAATATGAGTAATTTGAGGGCGGAGAGAGGTTGACGTGGATTGTAAGATAATATGAAATAGTAAAATATATAATAACTAATAATGAAATTAATATGAAAACACGTGACGACAAGGATATGTACGAGTAAAATTAGCACCTGAAAAGAGGTAGGTACGTACCAGCTCGGAATACACACAAAATATAATAATAATATGTATACTGACATATCGTATAATATACAGTCGAACTTGGTTAACTTGAAGTTGAAGGGACCATCCAAAAAGTTGGGGTTATCCAAGGATAATCCAAATAATAGGAAATTCTATTAGGACCAGGAAAAATTTCGAGGTACCGAATATATTGAGTTAACAGAGTTTGACTGTATTATAATAAAATATGATACGATGGAAGTGTGATCCATTTAAATGGCCTCACTGATTTTCGAAGTCAATTCTTGTGTTTTTAAAAATTTTAAATGCTTTTAAATATTGTTCAGTATATTTTTATAACACACTACACTTTCCAAAAAATCTCATTTTTAAAGTTTTTCGTGGTACGCAGTCACTTTTTAAAAGTTTTTAATTATTTTAATGTCGATATATATATATATATATATTAAATTGTATCATGGGAAACAAAATACTTTTATAAAAACATTGTTGGTACAATATTGATAAGCATTTAAAGTTTAGATTGAGTAAAACGGTAAGGGGTACCGCGGTAGGCACCCGGTAAAAGTTATTGTCCTCTCACCAAAACTTTAAACACTTAAAAAGTAACTATATGTTATTTAATATTCTAGACATTAATCAATACTTTTTAGAAAAGTATTCAGTTTCCGAATGTAAAATTATCAAATACTTTCTTTTTTTTTCGGAGGGGGTAGGACGTGATATGTAACAACAATTCAGACTTATTTGTAAACAATCAGTGAAGCTATTCCTATTTTAATGGACCGCCCTGTGCATTTATATAATATACATAATACGGTCTTAAAAATATGTAAGAATTATTGTTGTTGTTATACTTTTATTATTATTATTATGTCGTATTACTTTTTTCTAAAAAACGTGTATGGTCGGGCTTTGCACACACACACACACGCGCGTATATGTAGGTATACGTATATATGGCGGTACGAAGACTTGGATCCGAATGTGCCGCGGAAGAAGTGGTGTGGGGTAGTAGTGGTGAGGGGTGTGAAGTGGATGGACGAACTATGGGTGGGAACCTATGTAGGTGTATATAAAAAAAAAAAATCAAAGGGATTTCGTATAATATGTTTTATACTTAGGTGAGCAGCGGCCGCCGGCTTATACGAATACGAACTGCGCTCCTTTTTTACACATCGGACACGAGTGCCCGTCCTGTTGTCCAGCCGACTCGAGACGAACCCATTTTCCGTGACAATGGGGCGCCGACAGTACGGTCCATCTCGTCGCCCGATCCATTGTCCCGTGGCCCGGGCACCGGAAGCCCAGTGACTGTCGCATCACCTGTGTGTCGCAGCGCACGCACACGCGTTCACCTGTGCGGGAAAACCGGAAACGAATAAAAATACAGGTATGAATAAAAAAATAATATAGAAAAAAAAGCATGACGATAGTAATAATAATAATAACCTAACGACTACCTGCTGCGTTATCGGCGCAACAGACTATATACGCGTTTGTCGATGTATTACAACGAAGAATATCAATTTAGGCTAACTGATGATTGATGATCATATTATATATTAAGTAGGTACATATTATTATCATATTATGCCCGGGTACATTTAATTTTAGTGTATTAATACGATAAACTAAAAACGTACACATTGATTGATCCGTAAAAGAGAATGATACAAAAAAAAAATAATTTAAAAACTAATAATTTGTCGAATATATGTGTTGTTTTATAACATGATACCTACAGTAAAATCAATATAAACTATTTAAATATACAAAAAACACGAAAAATGCCTACGTAAAATGTTACGTAAATTAAAAAAGATAGTTAAAATATATACTTCATACGTTTCATTTTAAACAAGTCACAAGCGTGAATACTAAAATTACAATCAGCATTAATATTTTCATCAATGGTTGGCTCCTTTTATGAACATTTTTTATCTTCTCGTGTTATGAAAATTGTTACTTCTATTGTATCAAACGATACAAATTGTATATTACAAGTAAAAAAAAAAATTGTGTAGTGATTATAATATAATATAAATTTAATCTTAAAGTACTCAAGTGCTCATGCACTTCGTGACCATTAATTGTTATATAGTTTTAGCCTTTAAGGATATAAGTTTATACACGAATACGCTTAAAATTCCTCAAAGCAATAGTGTAAACTAATAATTTAAAGTGTCAAACAGACGAACATTACATACAATGTAATTATTTATTGGTGCGTATAACGTATTATTATTATTATTATTATTATTATTATAATTATATAATTTATATTTTTGTTAAACTGAACATTTTATATCATGTTCTTACGTGTCTTATACTTAGGTAAGGTTAGATTCACACAATTAGTTTTGAAGCATGTATATTATCAAGGTGTTTTTGTTAAGTAACAATGAGATATAGATGCTGTATACAGAATGTAATGTGAACAATGAAATGGAAAACGATGTCATTAACTTTAATATCTTCAGCATAGCATCTCATTTCTTCGGAAATGTTTGTCAAAGACAGTTGAATGGAAACGCTTAAATGGAAATCGATTTAATTAAGCTTGTATAATTTAAACATATTGGTACATAATACCTATGACTCTGAAGGATTTACTACGTATACAACTTGGTTATTCGACATTAATAAAATAATTATATAATGAGTTGTTAGAGTACAAACTCATTAGAATTTAGTTTTATCATTAGTTTTTTTTTTCTGTTATTAATAATAGAAATTAATAATGTAGACTATCGCTATGTACTAATTAATAATATTAATGAAGGCGGGGCTAATTAAAAAGACTAATTGCATTTTTCATCGAACCACCTAATGCGAAGTTATTATATAATTTTTCATATTTTAACCACAGAAGACTAATATAGGAAAATAAATTAGTACACGTTGTACGTTTAACCATATTTGTAATTATTTATTATGCGATAAGTCGTAGTATTTTGAATTAACACCAACGGTGAATTTTTGTTTTTTTTTTTATAATACGTCAAAAACTATAATTTTGATATTTTTGTTGCTTTTGAATGGGAGTGGCAAATAAGTGTGAGATGGCTTAAAAATAATACTGACCGTAAGTGTCCATGTATATATATTGCCTTTTACTCTGAATTTTCCTTTCCACAGGCAATTTCGACAATACACAGTAATAAAAAAACCTCTTTCATAATGGAAGAAAGACATAAACTGTATACTTTATTGCTAAAATGTTAAAGAACAAAAACTTTCCAAAGGCGGAAATTATAACGGTTTTAGTAGATTTTTGTTGTATCAGCATTTTTAAACGACTCCAATAATGAAACCTTTTTTTAATGCATTGAAGTACCTACCGATATAGTCTATTTTTCTTTTAGCAATTAGTATTTTATTGATTTATAATTTAAACATTATTACTGTAGGTACCTATCTATTTATATTTTGTATGTGTATATTGTATTACACATTTTTATATTGTTTTGTTACTTTATAAAGGAGTGTTATTTTTAAAAAATTTAAATCAGTTTTTAAGGAGTATTTTGTACATATAGTTTAACCGTGACTGGAATTGTGCGTGTTGTTATGTGAAAAATAATGCTAAAAGTGTGCGAGCTGTAACATTATTTCTGGTCTGCCTCCCGAATGAAAATGTACAGCCTATGACTCGCACAGTTTTTGCTCTAAAGAAACGTCTAATTTATATATACATACATCAATTTATAAAGCACATTGGAATCAAATGTTGTATATTTGTTGCTGTTCAAATATGTAGATTACTCAAAATTAATATCCATGACATTTTAAATTTATATAAGTCATTATTAAAAAGAACTAGATTTACCTAATGTAAATGTAATGATACACTTTATTTTTAATGAAATTGTATTATTCATTTTTATGTAGCATATGTACTTTTAAAACTGATTTGTATATATTTTGTAAAATCTTTGATTTTAATGAACTCAAACTTGTCATCCATATCACATCACAAGTATTATGCTTATATAGTATGTTTCTTTTTATTCTAATTATTATTAAATCATTTATGTATAATGTATATTGCTTATTTGTATATTGATTATATTTGCATAAAATAAAGACTATTATTATCATATAATATAATCCCAAAAAAAATTTTTAATTTAAAGCGTCGTTCTACTAATACGCATATATCCAAATACATTGGTAGTAACTAGTAATATTATTAAAATACGGTACCTATATAATATAGTATTATCTCTAACCTTATAGTAATAATAAAAATTCCATTAAAAAAGTAAAATAAAAAAGTCATATTTTGTATTTATTTAGGTACCTATATTTGTTTTATAATATTTAAATTGAAAACTTGATAAAACATGTTATTTTTGTGCGATACATATAGTTTCGCATTATCGAGTTTAATAAAAAACAGCAATTAATTGTTAATTAGTTTATTCGTAGTTAACATTGTCCGCAATATATACATAAACACGTAATACATATATTAATGTTTCATGTTTATTGTGTAGATTATTTTTACTATAAAAGTTTCATGTAAAAAATATAGCGCAAGTACAGCAAACATCAGTTATTTATTGTTTTTTTTTTTTTTATTGATCTAAAGCCCGGTGACTATGGCCATTAGCTGTTTGTAGGGGGACACGGTTGATTTGAAACAAGTTATTTGTATGTGTGGCAAGGATGTGTTGCTAAAACCTGCGTGGTCACCCATCCGAGTGCTTGCGACCACGACCCTGCACGTTACCGGAGATTGAGCTTACATCTGCATCTCATCAAGCAGCGATATTTACTGTCTGCTATTATTCATACTAACAAATATTATAATTTACATGCTCTCCCTATGCGCATAATATATTATAATATTACGCACTGCTCGTTAATCGTTTTTTATTGATAAATACATTCCATCGATCAGCTGTTTGTTATTAAACTATATAGCCGTGAAATCGACTGCCCAGCTCGGGTATAAAAATAATAGTAATGGGTAATAATAATAAATGATTAAACCAATATCAATGACGATTGACCATTGACAAACGGTACAATACGGTCATCGTCAAATAGTTTATGGCCATATAAAGTAGTCAACCTTCCTGCAGTCTAAATTAAGCGACAAATGTGGTCCGTGTAGGGTCAATTTTTTTGCATACGCGAAAGACGTTTAGGTTATAATATTATTAGCTAGGTATGGTATGCGCGTGGTAATAATATATGATGCCGGTACCCTCGAGCTCACCGTAAACAGATTCGAATCCCATAAAATAAACACGGAAATCGTTATATTGTGTTCGGGGGGTGTGTGTGTGTGTGTGTGTGTGTGTGTGTGTGTGTGTGTGAAGAAAACGATTAAATATTTATTTGCTGCGTATGAAAAACTAATTTTACGTAGTGCTGAGGTTCATATATTATATCACCGTGACAGGTACTGCAATGTATACCATAGTGTTGTACGTAGGTACCGGAGATCGGTTGCAGTGTTATACCTGTACATTATTACGCGTATATAAATGTGCTGCAGCCACATCGTACCTCGAGTTCATTTATTTCGTTCAGCAAGTTCAGTCGTAAAGTAACGGTGAGAATTCGAGTGTAATTAGTGGGTTTTTAACGTATATGCCGCAGTGGAGCCTTACCTTCTCTGAGCAAAGAGTATTCGGACACTTTTCTGCAGGCCTTGGTCGCTTTCATCACCTCGAAAAGAACACAGTACCTGAAACACGCGTATCGCAACGGTCATTATTAGGGTTTTAAAATTTCATGAAATTTATTGTCTTGAAATATTTCATCTACGCGAAAAATTAAAATTAAACCAACTGTGTATTATATCTAAAAAGCTTATCAACTTATAGCAATAGAACATTTTTAAAAGTTATCTTCTCTACGTACTAATAAATAATTAATAAATAATAATAGGCAATTTTCCAGTCCCTACTCAATTGATGAGCGATAAATTAACCGATAATATATATCATTTATATTATATACATTATACCTAATTTATAACCAAATTAACATAGTAATTCTTAAACTTTGGTCGATAAGCCATTCATATCGATATTTTCTGTGTGTAATCAATAATCATTTCCAATCATCTATAGTCAAATACATTAGTAATACAAAAATATAATTTTTCACAATTTCATTGAAATATTTCTAGAAGAGTGAAATTTTGAATTTTGAAATATTTAAAATTCGAACCCTGGTTATTATTATGTTATTTGTATTCCAAACCGCGTCGTTGAATTAATAATATATTTTGTTTTATAATATTGTCAATACATTTTTAAGGGTACAGTTTTATATAATTGGCCCGTGCTAGTTATTTGTGCTCACATTTTAAGCGAATTTGATTTCAGTGCTTTTCAGTTGTATAATGATAGGGTGAATCGTTAAAACTTTTAAACGCTTATAAATTATAATATTCATACACGTTTTGGGTACATAAATTATAATTATATACATCAGTATTTAAAAAAAAAATTCTTTTAAATATTATACACCGGTAACAAATTAAATTACCTGTTTAGTATTTATAGTGCTCTGACATTTGAACAATTTTAAAAAAGTACTAAAAATGTGAAATTTAAAAGTTTTAAAATGGTATAAATATGGAAAGCATCAAAAACGGAATTCCATAACCACTGTAAACCGAAATGTTTGTTTAAGATGTTATTGCAAATAATTAGTAGGTAGTTAATGGGATAAAATCATCACCCCGTCTCATTATATTGCAATTTATGGAGGTTAAAAACATATAATTTTCCTTTCCTGGAATATTATGTCATACAGAGTGACACTGGTATATATAATATACCCATTGGCCGTCACTGCAACTATACTTTATGGAATATATGTCAATAAATTTCACATTCATAGGTTTCCAGCCCGATCCTCAACCTTCAAAATTATTATGCTAATGATATTCATTGGCGGTGGAAGATATATTATTATATGCACACACGCCACACGCATACATATACCGACATAATATTACACTTAATAATCTAGTGATGTTGTTTAGAATAAATATTATTACGATATCGAAGTATTTTCGGATCAGTTAATACGATTTAAGAGTAGAGGTATCTACCTACATGTTATTATGACGTATAGTAGTGTCCCATTACATAATATTTTATATTTTATGAAAGAGTGCAATAAAACAATAATTTAAAATAATATTATATTATAATATAGAAAACAGAGTACAAGATCTTGGAATAACCCTTTCAAAGTTTTAAATGGTCTTTTCTTTATTAAGCGCATTACTACGTCATATAATGAGGCAATATGAATGTTAGGATTTATATGAACTATGAAGAAGTGCTCGTGAGTTAAGTGATTCAACATGTGTAAAGTCCCTACCAATCCACGTTAATTAATACATTAGGATTCTTCATTTAAAATTTGATAACTCAGTTTACGCCAATTCTTCATCTAATTCAAAACTAGATATTATTGAGAAGACAATTTTTTGATATTTGTTCTATCTAGATATTAATTTTCTTATTAATAATATAATATATTGTTCTGAATTATTAGGAGGTATATGATTTAAGGTGCCTAAGTGTGTTTTGGCCAAATTTTAACTCTCTGAAAAACGTTCTTTTTTGTGTTACTCCCTAGTCGCCATCGTCAAAATGACATCCATTTTGAGCCTATTAGCAGAATGTCAATAAATTGTAATAATATTAAAGATTTTGATTTAATTGACAACCTATATAATTAATTGCTTAAAATAAATTATATTTAAGTAATTTCATTGTTTATTGGTGTATTTTGTACTAGTAGCTCTAGGAGGCGCACTATTTAAGTATTGTCTATATTGTTTTGTCACTTATAGGTACTGCGTTCACTGCTTACTATTTTGCTTTGGGGGCGTTAAATTAACTTTAACATTGTAATAATTATATATTATGCACACTGCAGATAATTATTATAATCACGTTCTGCGTATTGATTAGACTTTGCTAAAACAACAACTTTCGTTATGTTTATTACAATTTAAACCTCTGGAAAGAATGCATTTTACAGTATTCATGGCATTATGTGTTTATACTTTATCATATATTACATCGTGATTTATCGTGATCATCTCTCTCTCTCGTGAAACAATTAATATCGATAAATATAGTAATACCAACAACATAAAGTATTATAGTTATTAGTTTATGTTTTCAGTGTGTATATAATATACAACGCACTTTCATATAAAATTAAGTTAATGAAAATTTAAATATATTACGCTATATAATTTCAAAAATGTTAAAAATGTTTATTCATAAAGTTAATAAAATAATCTTATAATCGTGGTGGTATGTTATATTACAACAAGATAAATTAATAAACCAAATTTGATTGCAGACATTTTTCTCTTTTCATTTTTAAGTACTTCCCGTCCAGCGTCTGCTATTATTATTAATCTTAACAAGTACTAATATTTATTAAAACAAATGGATATTTTTAATCTACAGTGCCTTAGATAAACTGGTTAAAGCTGTTCAAAAAACCGTTATTTATTTATTAATAACTCCCGCGGGACTCTGTTTGCCAACAAAACTGTAAATAAAGGATTTAATAATATATAGTTATATATACTAAAATATAGTTTTTAATTTCGAATTTCAAAGTTTTAAACCCTTTACCTGCTATAGTGTAATTTCTTAAAGAAGTGTCATCAAGCAATAAATATACTATTTAGTATTTAGTATGTGAGTTCTGTAGTTTCATATTTTTCCAGAGCACAAAGCCGTTAGCCTCCTACCCCTTAAAAAAGTGTGCATACTCTCTTGTATATAGTCCTACACGTGGTGCACTGGTGCATACTCAAAAATTCATTACTACAAAAACTTTTTTTTGCTTTTTGCTTATAATTATCATATTGTATGTACCTACAGTCTTATTTTCTGTTTCAATTTTTAATATTGTTTTAAATTTTAAATAATTTTTTGTATATACCTATTATATTTTATGCGTTTTGTTTTAAAATTAACATAACTTTTTTCTCCATATAATCTTTTTATTTACCTACCTACTTTAATGTACTGCAATAATTTACATAAATACATAAATATCTACTGTAACTTAATTTTAATTATTTTACAATAAACTATAAGTTAGAGTTATTATTTTAACTTACAAAACACATTTTAAATTGCGATAGAAAGGTAGAATGAACTTAAATAATTGTTAACTCTTATTTATTATTAATTATTAATTAATTAATTATGCCTTTAAAATGTCAGCGGTATAAATTTAATTTTTCAGTTATTAACCATCGTTTGATATCAGATATTGTGAAAGTTTATGTTTTTAAAGTATCAAATTCAAAGTTTTATTTTGATATAGAATACGCTATTAATGTCTTAGTATCTATTTTAATTATGTAACTAAAAAAATTATTTTATACACGATCCATGTCGTATATATATTATAACCTTTCATAATTTGTATTTTTTAGTATGATAGCTTATCATCTAATTTTAATTTTATGGTTTTATTTAAAATGTATATTATAAACTTATAGTACCTTACCTATTTAATATTAATCAACGAACATGATATTTTTAAAATCATGTTTAACTACTGTACTTCAATAATATATTGTATTGTTATTTAGTAGAGTTGTGCGAGTACTCGACTATACTCGACTAATTTTTTTTGTATTCGTAAAGTCGAGTAATCAATTTAAATCGAGAAATCGACTCTACTCGACTTTTATCGAGTACTCTATTCTACTCGACTTCTATCGAGTATTCGACTCTACTCGACTTATTACTCGACTTTTTATGAGTAGGTACTTGACATTTTTCAAGTACTCGACTATTGAACTCGACTGGACTCGAAAAAATAAAAACTTGACTTGGCATCAAAAATACAATACTTGCCCAACTCTAGTAATGTTTAGTATTCAGACGCATTAAATTGTTGTCACTTACGACTTGCCAGTTGCCGACAATAAAATCTGACAATGTGTGTTGAAACTCCAGAAACTTGAAGTTCGTGATTATATCTTTTTACTGTTTATGGTATATACATTATACCAGTTACCTATCTGCTAACTGTAATTAATATATTTTGAAAACAAAATTTTATAAACAATCGAACATGACTTAACAGTATATCACTCACGTAATAGTTTTATGAATGAGATGCAAAAATCATAATATAATCACTATCTTGTAAGCTGCAGCACTGAAATAATGGAATAGGTACCCTACGTTTTGTGTATGGAAGTTTTTCTTCAAAATATTTATGTTAGCTAAAATTTAGTTTAGGTAATAGTCATAGTTATTTTATATCGTAATATAGTTTATGAAGGTATTTTTATAAGTATTTTTATAAGTATAATTACTATATTTGATTTCAATATTTTTATTGCGTTATACTTATAAACTAGGTACTAGTATACAATTTTATTTTTGTTGTATAACATTTTCAAAAAACAGTGAAGTGTGCAGCTATTACAGTCCAAGTGATAATTACAATAATCTTAAAAAAAAAAAATCCATTTATAAATCATGACTAGGTATATTGTATATTTATTATACACTTTACGATCGTATAAATACGGTATTATTATAAATTATGATGTGAAGTATACTTAATATATTTTTTTAAATAGAAATATCTACCTCGGAGTATATACGAAAATATAATACGATTTATGTGAGTTTAGTACGGAGAAAATTACAGTAAGTAGCTACTTTA